AATATAATATATATTCAAACATAATATTTATTTATATATATATATATATATATATATATAATTTATTATAAATTTTAATTATGTTATATGTAATAAATATGTTGTGCCTCCAATATATATAATTTAGTTTGGTAAATTAACATTACCGAAAAAATTTGGTAACACTATAAAATGTTATATTATTAAATATAATTATTAAACTTAATAATAGAGTATATTTTAAAATGTATTATATGTCATATCAAATTATCAACCGATATACAGTCTAAACATATAAATAAAGTAAAATGCACTAAGACTCAAAAATTAATATAATACTTAATTTTATTATGAATAGGCAGATTTTTATTTCTTATATATCATGAGAAATTATTATATATGATAAAGTTTTTACTTATTTAATCACAAGTTATTATATATCATAATTTTTTTTTTATTTTAACGATAATTTAAAATTCATAATAACGATAATTTTTTAATTAGTCAATGATGTAAAATATTATACTTATTAATTATAACACAGCATTTATTAATTATAATATAGCATTTATTGCATTTTACACTATAATTATTGTATTTATTATTTTCTTCTTGATATAATATTCATTAATTAATTTTTAAAATTTTAAAAATATAATATTTATTTATTAAATATTTATTAATATCCATTAATTTTTATATCTATCATCTTATCTTAATTTTAATAATATTAAATCTAGGATAGTTTTCTATCTTGTTTTTTTCGCCCAATTTTAAACATACTTATTTTTTCACATTAATTGGTATACTCTTTCTAAAATTCTTTCTGAATAATTGACATACAAAAATTATTAACAAAATTAAGATATGTATTAAGTAATCACAACCAAATATAAAGTCAAATTATTTAAATGTAAACATTATAAATTTATAATAAAAATTAATATTTCCTTTTTGCAATATATGTATATGTATTAAAAAATAATAAATTATAAAAAATGATTTTATTATTTGTGAGTTTTTGGAATTATCTTTATTTATCCTAACTAAAAGTTTTATAATTTTACTAATAGTTGACTCGAATTAATTTAATAACATATTACAATTATATAATACAAAATTAGGTACACATATGTGTATTATGATATTAATATTATATAAAAATATTATATTTAAATTTCAATTTTTAATAATATTAAATTCAGGATAGTTTCTCATCCTATTTTTTGTCTAATCTTAGACAGATTTTTTCAAACTAAAAAATATAAAGATACATTACTTTTCTATATTAATTGTTATACTCATTTTAAAATTATTTTTAGATAATTGACATATTAAAGTTATAACAAAAATTAAGATATATGTTAAGTAATTACAACCAATTATAAATTCAAATCATTTAGTTAAAATATAATTAATTCATAACGAAAATTAATAGTTCATTTTTAATATATATATATATATATATTTTTTGAAAATAATAAATTATAAAAAAAACTTTGATT